CATAAAGAAGAATGTTAAGTTTGAATGGAGTGAGTACTACGAAAGGAGCTTTATAGAATTTAAAAAATAGTTGACTATTGCACCCGTATTAGCTTTATCGAGTGGGACAAGTGGATATAAGTTTATAGTGATGCCTCCTACCTGGGGTTGGGTTGTGTTCTGATGCAGCATGAGAAGGTTATAGCTTATGGGTCCACGCAATTGAAGAGTCATGAAAATAATTACCCCACCCACGACTTAAAAGTTGTCACCATTATTCACGCCTTGAAGACTTGACGCCACTACCTGTATGGGGAGAGTTTTGATATCTATACCGATCATAAAAGTTTGAAGTACATATTCACTCAAAAGAATTTCAACATGTGTAAGAGACGTTGGATAAAACTCCTCAAGAACTACGATTGCAATATTTTGTATCACCCGGACAAGGGCAATGTGGTACCTGACGCGCTCAGCAGAAAAAATATAGGTATGTTAGCTTACTTAATGGTTTTTGAATGTAGGGTAATAGAGGCCGCACAACAGAAATGATTTCAGGACTTGAAGAGAATTACATAATTGGCCCAGCTGACTGTTCAACCTGAATTGATTTAGAGAATAAAGAAAGTCCAATCTACCAATTCCACCCTAACAGCTCTCAGGAAGGATACAGAACAAAGAGTAAATCTAAAATTCTGAGTCTCTGGCGATGGGTTACTCAGATTACAGGACATGGTGTGTGTTCCAGGTGATAGTGAACTAAAAATATACATCATGACACAGACTCATAGCTCAAAATTCACCATACATCCCGAAAGTACTAAAATGTATTAAAGTATGCCACCGTGATTTTCATGGATCGGAATGAAAAGAGGGGTAGCTGACTTTATTTCAAGTGTCGAGTATGTCAATAGGTTAAAGTAGAACATCAATGCCAAGACGAGGTACTTTAGTCATTACCAATCTCAGAGTGGAAGTGAGAATATATCACAATAGATTTCATGACAGGGTTTCTTAATGCATGCTCAGGACATGATACTATTTGGATAATTGTCGACCGACTAACCAAGTTTTCTCACTTCTTGGCTATTAAGATGCTGACCCCTTGAATAAGATAACAAGAATGTATATTCGGTAAATAGTCTGACTACATGGAGTTTTAGTGACAGTGGTATCCGATAGAGACCCCAGGTTTACTTCTCAGTGTTAGTCTAGTTTTTAGTAAGCCATGAGAACGAAACTATCCTTTAGTTCCATATTCTACCCTCAAACGGATAGACAATCAGAGAAAAAGATTCGCACACTAGAGGATATGCTTCGAGCTTGTGTTATAGATTTCGGGGGCCATCTGGATGATCACCTACCTTTGATATAGTTCGCTTACAATAACAGCTACCAAATAAATATAGGCATGACTCTATACGAAACATTGCATGACTGCCCCTACAGGTCGCCAATATGTTGGGAAGAGGTGGGTGATAGAAAATTATTCGCTCCAAATCTTGTGGAGGAGATTATAGCCAAGATAATTAAGATTAGGAAGAACATGCAGACAACTTAGAGCAGACAGAAGAGTTATGCAAACAACTAGAAGAGGGATTTAGAATTTGAAAAAAGTAATTGGGTATTTCTTAATATCACCTCTTTTAAGGGGATCAATATGTTTGGTAAGAGGGAGAAATTAAATCCTTGGTTCATCGGCCCATTTGAGATCTTAGACTAAATTTGTACGATCGTCTACATACTGACACTACCTCTAGAGTTATTCAAGATTCATAATGTGTTCCACGTATTCATGCTATGCAAGTACAACCTGAACCCCTCACACATCCTGTTCCATGAGTCCTTTTCACTCTAGGAAGATCTATCCTATGAGGAGGTACCGGTAAGTATTATAGATTGAAAGAATAGAGTATTTCATAACTGAAAAATTCTCTTTATCAAGGTTCTATGACAGAACCATACGCAGGAAGAGGCCACTTGGGAACTGGAATCAAGCTTCAGGGCTTAGTACTCGTAGCTGTTTGACTAAGTGAGAGAGTGACTAATTTTAAGGACTAAATTTTATTAAGAGTGGGAGAGTTGTAATACCTGGGTTTGAAAAACGGTCCGGGATAAATTTTTCTTACGAAATTATTTTATTAAAATAAATAAATAAATAATTTTAATTTTATTTTATTGAAGTTTTGAGAAACAATGAATTGGAGATGAGATTGAAAATAATTTTGGGAAAAATGGGTGAAAATTTGAGTTTAGATGGTGTTTTTGAAAGAAAAATTAGAAATAATGGGTCAAAGTACAAAAAAAAAAATTCAGTCACGTTGGATGGTCCAGTCAGCAGCCCCGAGAACCAGAGCACTTTATGTGTCAAAATACGCTGATGTTGACACCACGCAGGAGGCTACGAAGGTGATTCGCGTGCCCAGTGATCTGACGGCTCATATTTATTTCCTCCTTAAACACGATCAGACGGACAAGATTAATCGCGATGAACGGTCTATATTCGTTCCCTCATTAAGGTTGATCGGACAGACGAGATCAATTGCAATGAATGACCTAAATCGACGCGGGATGGGTATAAAT